CTCGACGAAACCTACGTCAAGGTAGACTTCAAGCAGCTTCCTGGGCAGGAGTTTTACACGGCAACCGGACAGGGAAAGGTGGCAGTTATTTTGAAGCAACACTATTGTTCGTGCTGTTTTGGCCGGATTCGGCATCCTGCCATTACGGAAAAAAAGGACATGGAGTGGTATGCCGCCAACAAGAACAAAAACCCGTTCCAACACGCCAGAGCTCCGCCCAATCGAGAAGTATTGGGCCATCGTCAAGCGGAATCTGAAAAAGACCCAAAAAACTGTTGGAAGCGAGAAGCAGTTTAAGGCAAACTGGCGTTCTACGGCGAACAAAGTGGACGAGGTGGTTGTACAGAATTTTGATGGCAGGAATTAAATTAAAAGCCTGGCAATTCGGATTCGGTCAACCGGAAGCTTAACTGAATATTTTTACTGTATTTTATACTAATAGAACTTAAAAAAGAAAAATCATATGATTTTTTTTAATTTGTTTTAGCAATTTACACGCATTCTTGTTTGACGAAATTTTGATCGTAACACTCTTTAGCTATAGAAATAAGAGAAATCTACTACTAACAATGGACAATGAAATATGGCTCCGTAAAGCAAACGCGATTGAGCCTTCCAAATAAACGAACTAGATGAAAAAATCCATTAGAGATAGAATACATTGACCCAGTATAAAAAAAGGTTAAATGAAAAAGGCTTCAATTCGTGCTTCAATATTTCCCCTCATTTTCTCCTTTTGTTTGACTACAGCAGTAGATGGAGCTAGATCCTGAGTACAGTGGCAGATTATGTGTTCCACTGAACAGTTGGTGCGGCAGAGCTCCAAAAATTTCCGAGACTCTGGTATGGCCTGTTCTGAATCTTGCCAGGACAACCTGAGTTCGGTGGTCTTCCCATCTTCTTGTGTCAGCCTTCACCTTTCTAAGGAAAATGCTTGTCGATTGGTACCAAGTATGTGACCAGAAGTCCCAGATTTTGTTGGCAATCCATTTTTTCAGGTCCCCCGATGGAACCTCCTTGGTAAACAGTTGGGCTTGTTTTCCTGAAGCCGCTAGATGATCAGCTACTATATTACTACGAATGCCGCAGTGTCCCGGAATCCATACAAATGTAGTGTTTCTGGGAGCATACCGCTGAATGGCTTGGATCCATGAGTGCTTGATACAGTCTGAGTTGAGGGCTAGAACTACACTTGCGGGGTCCGGAAATACGGCAATCGGCTTGTTTGAGAGAGTGGTAGCAGCAATAAAAGCAGAGACCGCTTCTGCCGAGAATATAGTGAACTGGTCTGGAAGTCGATGAAGTACTTCACGGGCAAACCTGAGCTTCTTTTATCGTTTGCAGCCCTGTATTGATGACCCAGCAAAATATTGTTAGACAGATTAACTTTAAGATATTGACGGAAGTATTGACGAAACTTCTGCCGTGTGGGGGTGCACTTTTGATTTGAATGTCAATAAAGCAGACACCACAAAAGCTAAAATATTCCCAAGTAACACACTTTCAGCTCGAAAAGTTGGAGCAACTTGTTTGTGACGGTCATAAGTGGTATAGAAGTTTCTGCAACCAATTTATGACAATCGTGCTGTTGTTGTCAATATTGAAAAGTATTCAGCTTTCCATGCTCGGTAATAGCGGCCTGTTTGTATGAATAAATGTATCCTTCACTGTGATTTTTGACACTAACTGGAGGGCGTATGTAGTTGATCGAAGTAGGTCACGCGATTGAAATGACGTGTTTTGATTTTGCTAAAAAAAAAGTCTCTGTGTTTTTATGGAGTTTATGAAATCTGAACGATTAAAATTCTAAAATTGATTGCGTAAAAAAAAAAGATCTGATTTCGGATTTGTGTCTAAAGGACGAAAAGTGGCAGAGGCTGATAGGCAAACTGAAGGTCATCAAGATGGAGTGAATCAAGCGGGCCGCCATCCGGGAAGTGGAAGCATTTATTCATAAGATTTTGAAACGGAAGGATGTAACGGATTCTTCAGACAGTGATAGATGAGGATCCAGTGGAGGTTCCTAGGCAAAAGGTTACAATATTCAAGAAGAGATACGAAAAACATCGAAAAGTGATAGAGAAAGAGAGAGAAGAGTATTCCATTACAGATGACGATTATTCAACAGGACTCAATGAGAATCGAGATGGCAAAGATTCAGCAGCAAGGACACAATACATAAGCGGTGAGATCTAACTGATTATAACTAGATATAAAATTATGAAATGCATCCTACTAAGTACATGCCATCTACAAAGCAGGAATTGCTTTGATGATGGAAGTGTACACGCAGTACCAATATACATTTTATATCGGTACTACGTGTATGCGGGGCTTGTTGTAAGTGAAAGTAACCTCGGAATGGACGTGAGTGACCAGGCATTCTGAAATGGGTTACTTAATCTCAACAGATCTATCACCTTTCAACTTCCGGGCTAAAATTGTTTGCAATGGGGTCAGTATAAGATAATAATAGATTATATTGCAAACATTTTTTTCCATAAAAACACTCCCGGACAGTGGAAGTTGGATTGTACATACATACATACATACATGCATAACTGGAGGGCGCATGTTGTTTCATTTTCTTCTGTTCCTGGGAGAGAGAAAGGGAGGGGTCAAAATCCGAACCTCCAGATAGCACAGTGAAGGATACATTTATTCATACAAACAGGCCGCCATTACCGTGCTTGGAAAGCTGGATTGTCAATAATATTACGGAGGAAAATATTGAAGCAAACATTGTCCATCTCTCATCTGTCATCTGCACATGATCCTTTAGCCGGGAAAGATTTCATTTGTCTAAATATAGGTAAATAGTATGTAACAAATCTAGTCCAAAATAGCGTTGAAAATATTGATCTTAAAATAATTGAAGAAAATTCTGTCGTGTGAGGTATACTTAACATTAATTAACCAATCCTTTGAAAATTTCAGCGACCCCGATCACAGACTAGCGTCAGCTAAATCCTTCAGACAGGTCGCCTATACGGCCGCTGAGACTAACACAGTAGGGGAGTAACTTTTACTCAGTTTTATGGGAATTTCGCCACAACCTTATAGATTCACCGAATAAAGTAATGCAGCGCGGCGTTTCAGCAAGCACCACGGAGCGCATTTGCCCCAAATTCAAGGTCGCGTTTGCCTGCTACAACGAACGGCCGTACTTCACGAGAGGCTGTATGGATTGTACTTCATCTATATAAAGAAATACGGAGTGTGTTGCGGCCTTTCATCTGAGAGAAATCGCGTGGATTCTTCAGGGAACATGACAATCGACTTCTCGACGCAAGATCTCACTTATACAACCTAGCTAGTGTAGCCGTGTAAAATGGATTTGTTTATTATTTTCAACCACGAAATCAGCTGTCAAAGTGTTCGACTTGACAGCGATTTGTTTTTTTTTTAATTTTCAACCAGTAAAACGCATATATTAGTGAAGCTGCTCACTAATACTAATGGTGGTAGAGAACTCTATACTCAGTACGGTTTCTACGAACATCCAATACACCTGGCTAAAAGTGACTCTCGCACTGAGTTGGTCTCAACGGCCGTGTATGTGCGCGATCAGTGATGGGAAAACAATTAGCAACTGCTGATCTTGACCTTACTTATGCAAAAAAAAACTGCTCTTATAACATAGAATATTATTTACAACATGATCCCACCTTCGACATCAGTAAAGCATGATGGATATTCTCTGTGTGCACTTTCTTTCCAGTATTCGAGCATCGACAATTAATAAACGTCAAGGTGCAAAGTTAATCGTGATGTTACCAAAAAAAAAACACAAACTTATAATATTCTCATTTTGATTGAGAAAATAAAAACACCGAATTTCAAAGTTAATGAGTAAACTATAATACGGAGTGTTAAACCGGATACAATTACCGCACATACATAACAGATTCTTGAACATAAAATTTTCGCATGGATGTGTGTTGTGTGTGTGTGTGTTTGATACAGGATTATTGTAGTTGCTCGGAAAAAAATAATGAATGTGTGTGTGTGTGTTTTTTTTTCTATTGTTGATGCAAAGCGAATCGATTCACTTCACCACTGCTAGGACTAGGAAAACAAAGACAAACTATTGCAACGGAATTAGAGTGGTGTGTGGTAAGAAATTTGCAAAACCGAAACGATTTTATTATGCATAGAGAACTATTGGAAATGATAATATAAAAATAAAGAGAAGAGAAGGAGATTTTTCTTACAAACTCATATCGGTGAGAAACGTATATGGAGGGGAGATAATTAAGATATTAGGTTAAACCTGATGCTATTTTGCTTCTTTTCGTTTGTTGTTTTCTTTCTTGCCTCGTGGGGGGAAAATCATGATTTTTCTTTGCTAAAATTATGTACACATTGAACGCATTTCGCATAAAAATGCCTATTTTTCGAAAAGCTTTTAAAAATATGAGGGTTAACTTCAGCTTTAAATCTTATCATCAGTGATTCTTTCTTCTCAGATTTAAAATTTTACTACTAAAGCGAAACCAAAAAAAAAAAAATCAAAAAATCAAAATGGACTACAGTTGGAGAAAAATAAAAACGCATTAATGCACTACTATTTACAAGAGAATCTGGGAACTTGTTAGTGAAGGAAAGGGAACGAGGAATTTACGGGAACCAGTTGTTTAGTTACATTAAAATATCATTTGTGTTTCCAGCAGTATTAGTCACACCCATCACCGTGTAAAAGTTAACTTAAAAGATACAAACATTTTAGGATTCAACTAAAAAGATAATGCATTAAATTACAAAATCCTACCTAAGGAGAATCACTTTCACTAGCGCGAATTTCGTTCAACTTGCAACATTAACTTGCGTTCAAAGGAGGGGGCGTAACAAAAAGACAAAAGATGCCCACGCCCCCTTCCCAATCATTTTGTAGACATTTTTACTTTTGTACAGAAACAAGAACATAACAGAAATCACGACAATCACGAAGAAAGAAAACACAAAACCTAGTAGTGAGTTCAGAACGATTCGAAACTTACATTCTCTCCGGGTCCACCGAAGCCACCGAGGTTGTAATCGCCCATGCCACTGCCGGAGTCTTCCCGGGGCGTGCCAGGACCATTCGCCGGGCTGTTCTTCATACCGTCCAGACCGTCGTTGTTAAGTACCGGGCCACCCATCGAGTTCGGGCCCATGGGACCGCCCATCGGGCCGCTACCGTCCGAACCGCCGACCATGGGAAATTCCTAAAGATTGTGTTTGGAATGGTTAGCAAAACTCGTTTACTTTAGCATTTTTTGTTGTTGTTGTTGTTGATGTTCTGGAATTAAGGGTTCCATCATCGGTAATATCTGAACCGCAGCCAAAAATTTAAAACCCAAATTTCTAACCTCTGACCTCGAATTTTCGAAAAATAATTTAATATCTTGAACAGATGATTTTCCAGATCTCGGTCAAAGAGAATGTTTATTCAATCTTGGACTTAGGCTATGATATGATTAACTAAGCATTAAAGAAGTGGCTCTTCATAAGCACCTTAACGACTGAATGTCTTAAAAATCGAGATGAAATGGGCACCATAACAAACATCATTGTTCTTAGCAAAAATAATTGATGCATAAAAATCGAAATCCTTTGCAAGATTACAAACATCAAACAAACTGCCTCTAGTGGAACCCCTCAGTAAAATGCAAACTCGCCCATTACACTCACGGGTTTCATTGGTGTGTACATGTTCTCGCCGCCGGAGTTGGATGAATCTTGAGGTGATGGCATGATGGGCGTTCCGGGACCGGGCGGTCCGCTCGGTCCTGGTGGACCACCGTAGTTACCGGGTGACGAGGATGAATAGTTCATGGGCTGTAACGAATCGAAGCAAGGTTAAGCACTCTTCACATTTCTAAAGCATAAAGATCGTGGCTTCAAACTCACCGATGACGTATTGGGTTGCCACTGGGGCCGTCCGCCGGCCATGCCCATCGGGGGCATACCACCCGGGCCCAGACTGCTGTTCGGCGGGGGGCCACGCATACCCGGCCCGTACGTACCGGCGCCCATGGGACCCATGCCGGGCCCGCGAGGTGGGTTCATTCTAGGATTCATCGGACCCATTCCTGGGGGGCCTGCGTTCGTTTTGGTGTTTTTAGTGGAATCACAATTATTTTTGATTTGAAATTCGAATTGGTTTGCGAGGGTACATATAATAGCGAAAGCAGTGTTTGTACAAGCAGCCGGTCGGAAGGGGTCCCATTAGCACAAAACGTGACGATGATCGATGATGGATGAGCCGGGGGAGTTTGATGATGGGTTAAGCGATGAAGAGTTTTCGGGCAGTTGGTTATTACACAGACACACATAAGTTCGATTCCGTTTTCAATGGGGGGGTGGGGGTTCGTTTCAGCGGGATCATTTGCACATGGTGGTTTGGAAACGAGAAAAAGAACGAAAATGATTTTAGAAAGGTTTTTTTTCAAACAGAAATAAATGGACATAGCTTAGCACTAAAATTGATCCAACCCTTTCGAGAAATTTTTGCAGGTTTGTATGAAAATCTCAATTATTCGCCAGGAAAGGGTAGTGAATATTGTTGTATTGAAAAAATGTATCTGATTGAGGACAAATTAAGCGAAATTATGGAAACGATTGATCAAAAGCTGAAAATACACGGATAAATCGACATTCATTCTAAGATCTTATAATTAATATTCCAACGAAGGCTTAAAAATTATGATGATTTCTGAGTCCAGAAGGGACCTCATCTAGATACAAAGTTTTTTCTCTCCTTTTTATCTATAAGAGGCCTCCTCTAGTTGAGTACTGAGGCTGACAATGTGCTGTCTTTATTCGGAGTTTGGATTGTTAAGTTGCTAAGGATCTTGCTTTGGTTTGAGATGTTAGGTGATAAGAGATTGGTATTGCGGTGGTCGGGATTTTGGCTGGTTTCATATTTGATCGAAGAGGCCGGCCTCGCGGAGGAAGCCCATTAATGCTGTGATCCTAGTCAGTGCGTCCCTAATGCTGCCCAGTATGCCGTACAGCTCTCGTGGGCCTTCGTATTGAGTACAGTGGCAGATTATGTGTTCCACTGAACAGTTGATGCGGCAGAGCTCGCAAAATTTCCGGAACAGCCCTGCTCCCTGAAAAGTTATGCGAGACTCTGGTATGGCCTGTTCTGAGTCTTGCCAGGACAACCTGAGTTCGGTGGTCAAGCGGGTCTTCCCATCTTCTTGTGTCAGCCTTCACCTTTCTAAGGAAAATGCTTGTCGATTGGGACCATGTATGGACCATAAGTCCCAGATTTTGTTGGAAACCAATTTTTGGAACCTCCTTGACAGTTCAGGGCTGGTAGCAGGTCACTTTTTAGTGACTTGGTCACTATTTTGAAGCCAGTCACTAAAAAGTCACTTTTTACACCAAAAAGTCACTTAAGTCACTATTTCCCTAAAAATAGTCACTAAAGTCACTTTTTCACAAAATGTTTAAATTGAGTACTAGGCACAAAGAAAGTCTTCAGTAGTTTTAACAAAATATACATATCTGTTAAAAAATTGAAAGTTTTAACCAGGGTGACCAGTGAACCGCAAAACGTTAGAACACCAGGAAAAGTATTTGGAAATGCCTTCAATTTCGATTTAAAATAGAATTTTGAAGGATTCTAGGGCAGACATCAAGATATATCAGAGAAGAATACCAAAGTACAGACTACAAAAGTCTCATGTAAAATTAAGTGTTCTGTAAAATTCTCTATATAGTTAAACTTGGCTTAACACATACGAGCGGCAAACATACTTTTGAACATAAAAACCAATAAATGATCCATAGAATATTGGAAAACGTTCCATAAAAAACATCCAAATGATCCATAAAACTTCGGAGAAAATCCTTAAAAAAGTGTGAATGAACCATAAAAAATATCAATATGATCCATATTTAATGTAAAATTTAGCAACACAATTGTAAAAATGTACCGCTAAATTTCTAAGCAATGAGCATTGAAATTGTACGAATTACCCATAAACATATTGCAATTGATCCATAATACATTCAGCAGTGAACCTTAAACTAAAGAAAGTGATCCATAGAAAATCATGTTTGCGCACCTAAAAATATAGCCATGTTCGGATTAATGAAAGCAACTTCCTCAGAGCAGTCTCGTTTTGGACAGCTTGAAGCTGAAATAAGTTTAATAAAACTAATTTAAAATCTAAACCAATCTTAATGCTTATAATAAAACCTATTTCAGCTTCAAGCTGTCCAAAACGAGACTGCTCTGAGGAAGTTGCTTTCATTAATCCGAACATTCTTGAAGAACAACATCGGATATAACCTCAAAATGTCAGAGGGATCAACACCACCGTTGAGTGAAGAACAGAACAGCGATAGAAGTAGATGATATGGTCCAGTGTGATGTCTGCGATTTCTGGACCCATTATAGTTGTGCTGGTAAGACAACAGCTGTAAAGGAGGTTCCGTAGACGTGCTCTAAGTGCACAAATATGCTGAAGGTGGCAAAAGGAACCAAGAAGTCTGTCCCAAAGAAACCACCTAGCAGAAATAATAGAGCGAGGAGTGATGCCGCAACCGAATCTGGAAAAGGAAGTACCAATGAGGTCAGCCTGGAAAAATCCCTAGAGCAGTTGCTGCAGGAGAAAAGCGCAAATAAGAAAGCGCTGGAGGAAGAGAAAATCCTCCATGAAAAGCGATAGGAGGCTGAGCGGGAAATTTTCAAACCGAGAATTATCTTCCGTCACTCTTTCAACAAAGATTTGGCTAGATTTAGCATTTAGGGATTCAATTATTATTTTACTTAAGCACGCAAACGATGCAGAATGAGCTACTTACTAGTTACTTAGGGTAAATCATGTATATAGCGTTTAGGAACAAATTGTAGGTTACCAGATTATAGGATCAAATTGTAGTATCTAGATTAAGCAAATAAAGGGTTATTAAATTCAATATTTGCACGAATTCCACCTCCAACTAACCTACTTCAGTAGCTACATAGAGGTAACTCTAAGACCAGAAGGTCCCGAAGAAATGTCCTCAACTTTTTGGCTAAGCTCTGGTACTATCTTCGGTCCCAAGCTTATCGATACACCCCTATAAAACACGAACCCCTCATTTTTTTTTCAAAACAAACATTGTGTAGTACTAGAATTTTGACTAGCATGGGGTACTTTAATCGATTTGCTTGGGACCAATAGGCAAGTCAAGTAGTGAGCCAATTTAAAATCGTTAGTTTCGTATTGATTTTTGGTAGCTAGCTCACTACAAATAACTATAATTTAATTAAACGATAGGTATATTAACAAATTTAGGCAATTAAAATAATTTAGCTGTAAAACGTTTTTTAGATGGGTTGGAATTGTATCTTCTTTTGCTCTTTTTTTCTCGTTCATACTCCGACCTATCTAAGGTTTGGTTCAACGGAACTGTGAGTTCACAGTTCCGTTGAACCAAACCTGACGTCTGTCATTTCTGACAGCGACCGTTACTGTAGCTCTCTGAATCTCCCACAGGGTTGTCACTGGGTTTGGCGGTACAGGGTTATCCCGATATTCCGAACAGCGATGATCCATAAATTAGACGTATATTATTCACGTTTTGGACACTGTATTATTAATTTTGATCCATAAACCATGAAAAATTGCTCCATTAATGCTTAACTACTTAGATTTACTGTCCTGCCGTGTCTTTAGGTAGATGAACGGAGCGATGGTCAAGCGTCTAGAATTAGCTTCCAAAAGAAGCTTCTATAATAATCTTCTTAAGAAAAATTGAAAAAGAAATGTTAATTTTATGGATCATACCTAGGGTAGGTGTTCCAGTTGTTGGTAGACGCAGGCATGGAAAATCATTTGCATTCATTTCGTGCATTCATTTACATTCATTTGCTTCTAACTTTTTCTTCAACAGCATTTTGCAAAATGATGGATAGAGTTCTTGTAGGTTTTGTTATTAACTATAACTTTTATTAACAAGTCAAATCCGTATCTCTTATGCATGACGAACCAGAGCGAACAGAAGCCACTACTGTTTTTCAGTGAATGTATTTTACATTCACTGAAAAACAGTAACAAGTTCTGCCCGCTTTAGTTCGTGATGCATAAGAGATACAGATTTGACATATGAGCAAAAGTTGTAGCTAATAACAAAACCTACAAAAGTTCTTTACATAATTTTGCGGAATGCTGTTGATGAAAAAAGTTAGAGGCAAATGAATGTAAATGAATGTATGAAATGAATGCAAATGATTTTCCATGCCTGGGTAGACGTGCTTATTTTGGTGTGTTCTATTTATAGTCTATATCGAGGGGGGCGACACATCCAAATCTCAATTCTAGATGCTCAACAGATCTACCACTAGCGAATCAATCTTCGAAAAATATTCTTTCATTTCTCGCATCTACTTGCATCGCGCCTCATCTTTTTACAGGAAATCTTCAGAATCGTCATCAATCTTCTTTCTATCTACTCAGCGTGAGCGCAGCTAGCCGAAACAAAACACAATTTTTCCTGCATCGTAGCTAGAGTCGCTCCCCTCGGTCTATAAACATATGTTTTTTAATTTGATCAAACCTTGGAAAATTGCTACATTACTGCGTAGCTACTCAGGTTTACTGTTCTGCCCGTGTTTTTTTGTCAGAAGAGCAGAACGATGGGCGAGCGTCTAGAATAAGCTTCTTAGTTTCTAAATGAAGCTTCCATAGGAAGCTTTTTAAGAATATTATTGTAGAATCTTCTTTTGGAAGCTAATTCTAGACGCTTGCCCGTCGCTTCGCACATCTACCTTAAATACACGGGCAGGACAGTAAATATAAGTAGATAAGCAGTGGAGCAATTTTTCAAGGTTTATGGATCAAAATTTAAAAAAATAGTGTCCTAAACATGAATAATATACGTATAATTTATGGATCATGCCTATATTTTTAAGTGTGCAAACTTGATTTTTATGGATCACTTTCTTTAGTTTAAGGTTCATTGCTGAATGTTTTATGGATCAATTGCAATATGTTTATGGGTAATTCGTACAATTCCAATGCTCATTGTTTAGAAATTTAGTGGTACATTTTTACAATTGTGTTGCTAAATTTCACATAAAATATTGATAATATTGATATTT